GTGTTTTGGGGCAGCAGGAGCGATGTGGGTCCTGCCCTGAGTCAGGAAGTGTTTGTGGGTGTCTCCTCAACCACTTTTGGGGTTCTGCTGGGACCGAGCAGCTTCGCTCCCAGCTCCTGGCTTGAGGCCACGGGTGGCTCATGCCACCGAGCACGCAGTGGCAGCGCCCTGGAGACGTGGAGAGCACCAGGGTGGGTCGAGCTGTCCTAGGGAGGATGAAACTCTAAATCATGAGCACCAAGAGGAGACCTGAGCCAAACTGCCGTTGGACACTGCTGGCCCAAACCGAGCCATGTACAGATGGGGAGGTCATCACTTCGGTTTTGTCTCGGCAGGTCGACCCCGATGACGTTCTTACAAAAGAAGAGCAGATCTACCTCCTGGTGGAAGCTAAGGAGAAATGTCAGAGAGACATAAAAGCCCAACTGGAGAAGACCAAAGGTAGCATCCCTTGCCTGCGCACAGGTCAGCCAGCCCTGGTGGATCTGGCTACGTTGTGGGGAATGCGTTCTCCTCCGATGGGAGTGGGATGGAGTCAAGGAGACATGCAGCTCCTGGGGGCCAGGTGTCCTAGTGTGGGTTTGTGCAGCTCCTGGATGCTCTGGGCACAATCAGGTGCTAATTAAATTCTCACCCTGATTAGGCAGCGCTGGCTGCCCTGTGCACACTGCAAACCAGAGCACACGGAGGGGCCTCGGACCCCCCAGGAGGAGGTGGGATGTGATGGGATGTGTCCCTCCCCCTGGACCCCAGGGGTGGTCGTGTGCCAGCGCGTGTTCCTTGCCCTGGTCCAGCACCCGCTTGGGGAAGCCGGAGGGCACGATGTGGCCCTGTTCGGAGCCAAAGCGAGACGTGTCTCTGCTCGTTGGCCAGACACCAGCTGCCTTCCGGAGTGGGACGGGATTATCTGCTGGCCGAAGGGCTCCCCCGGCCAGGAGGTGCCGGTGCCCTGCCCCGACTACATCTATGACTTCAACCACAAAGGTGAGCGCTTGTACCCGGGCAGGGAGCGACCTCCCCTTGGGCACAACCCTCC